GGTCTTGCAAACTGGAGCATTGACTAAGGGCTGAGAATAGGTGGTGAATAAGGGGAAGCTTCCAGCATGGGGCAGCCTGAATGCTATGGAACTGGGTCAGAGGGTCCAAGATGGGTAACTGTTTCTCTGCTGGGGAGGACCTCAGATTTGGGCAGTTGCCAAGGAATGGGAAGTTTCCAAGGAAAGCCTAAAGGATAAATGACAGAGGGGGCGGGTGGGCAGGACGGTGGGTTAGAGATTTGCTAAGAGAGCTGACATCAGCAGGACTACAGTTCCGGAGGTGGGGGCAAGGGCGGGGACTGAAGCACCAGGGCTTGCATCACTGGGGCTGCAGACAGTGTTGGGAGTCCAGACCGGATGCAAGCATGAGCTCGGAACCCTACCAACTACGTGGTCTGAAGCCACCCAGAAAGATGACACACTTGGGCAAAGGCAGGGGGGTGGGAAAAACAGGGAGATGGAAGCTGTGACAGCCCCATGCAGTGGCTGGAAGGCACATGGATGGGTGGATAGGGTGGAGCAGTGATGGTGGTCCAGTAGCCTGCCCTCTGACAGAGGGTCAGGCTAAAGGGAACAGGAACAAGGGCTAGGGGGAGAATAAAAGCAGGAATCTTTCAGCTTGTTTTACCTATGACAACAGTGGACCTTGTAGGGGGATCAAAGAGGTTGTCTAGCCAGCCAGAATGATGTGAGGCACATTATATCTACAGTCTTTAGTGAAACAGCCATAGAACAAGTGAGTGCGAGGGTAATCTACCTGTTGTTGGCTGGCTGCAAGGACTTAGGTAAGTCTCTGAGCCCCTCCAATCCTGTTTCTTCCTCTGCAAAGTGGCAGTTACAAGCTCTTCCCTCACTGCAACCCCTCTCCCTCCTTCCACTACAGCAGCATTCGGTGCCCTAGTTCTTCCAGTGAGCATAATCTACTTTTAACCACACTCTTCCTGAGGGCAACCTGCCTGGCCCTAGATTTGCCAGGGACTTGTCTATGCATAACCACATTGCTGGTTTAATAATCAGAAACTCAAATGATGTCTGAATTTATGTGAAGACTCAAAATGGAGTTAGGGCTCCTGCTGTGGACTGCAGCCTTCCACAAACCAAGTGCTTTAGAATTTAAGCTCTGATACAGCGTTGACTGGACCCTTAACTTCTCTGCACCTCAACTCCCTCTTGCTATGTGTGGGAAAACAACATCTCAGTGGAATGAGAAGCCTAGCCCTGGGGTCGCCAGAAAACAGAGGCAATTCCTAAGGCAAGGCAAGGCCATGAGCTCCTGCCCGCTCACATAGCACAGCGAGCTCTATGCTAGCTGCCAAATAGGTCATCTCAGTGGGTCAGAGCGCCAGCACGGGACCAGCCAGGCTCAGCAGTGTTTGGGCCTGGGCGGGTCGCCAGGTAAGCAAGCCCGGGCGCTCAAACTGCGTTGCTACCTGGCTTTCGTTCATTCGGCAGACTCCTGGCCATGGAAGCGCGTGCGGGGGGCGCTGTGGACCCTATGGGGAGTAAAGGAGGTATGGGGGGAGGCGGAGAGCAAGGAAAGGAGCGCGGTCCCTGACACCCTTCACCCCGCCTCTCTGCTCCTCACCTTTTTCTTCCTGCAGGTTGTAAACAGAGCAGCTCAGGCGCCCTAGCAGCGGCGGTGCTAGGAGCCCAGCGAGGGGGGCTGGGCGCAAGACCTACTACCCACCTCCACCCCCACGGAGGGGCTGCGCCCTAGACCCGGGGACTCTCAGGAGTCCTTGTGGAGATGGAGGGGGTGTTGTTGCTCAGGATCACTGGGGACAACTGAGCAATCAGGGAGGGCTGTGAATTAGGGGTGGGGGTTGCCGGTAGCTCCGGACCTCTAAGGGATATGTGCAGAGAGGGAATCTGGAGTTATGTGGGCTACCTGGAGAAAGGGGGCCTCTGAGAAAATTTATGAGGGGGTAGCTCGAGTTCCCTAGGATACCTGGATGGAGAACCAGGGCCCAGGAGGTATGGGACACAGAATGTGCTCTTGGGATATCTGGAGGAGTCAGTGTCCCCAGAGGCGTTGTGGGGAACAGTCTGGAACCTTAGTTTATTAGGGAACAGTTGAGGTCCCAAGTATGTGGGGCAGTTGGAGATACTCATAGAGTTGTCCGAGATGTCCCGGAATACTGCAGTCAAATAGCTATCTCCAGGGATATTGTGGGGGAGGGGGGTCCATTGGCATACCCGGGAAGGTCGAGGGTCTCGGAGATGTTGAGTGGCAGTCAGTGACCTTCACCCTATGGAGAGAGTGGTCGGGAATCTCGAGGGGGCATGTCTAGGTCTTCGGACATTTGGAAGGGTGTTCGTGGTGGCGCTGACCTGTTCCCCCAACCCTCGCAGGCCGCGGCCTCCGTCTGCCAGCAAGCCCCAGCGCCCGGCAGCTTCTGACGCGGCTGGACGCGCGCCCCCTGGCGGCCCGAGCTGCGGCCCACGTGGCAGCGCTGGTACGGCGGGCCGGCGCCACACTACGCCTGCGCTCCAAGGAGGGTGCGTGAGGGAGGCTGGGTCTTCCTGGGAAGTGACTTTGGAAAATAACCGGTACTTCTAGAGTGCCAGGACACGGATTGTTAGTGGGGCCTCCAAAAACCAAACTCATTGCCATCGAGTCAATTCTGACTCATAGCGACCCCTCTTTGGGTTTCTGAGGTGGTATCTCTATGGAAGTAGATGGTCCAGTCTTCCTTCCTGGTGGATTTGAACCAGCAGCCTTCTAGTTAGCAGTCAAATGCCTTAGGCACTAGGCTACCAGAGCTCCTTTGTTGTTGTTGTTGTTGTTAAGTGCCGTGGAGTCGTTTCCGACTCATAGCGACCCCATGCACAGCAGAACAAAACACTGCCCGATCCTGCGCCAGCCCCACAATCCCTGCTATACTCGAGCCCATCAT